TTTCAATTGAACCTGTGCATGTGCCTAAAAACCTTGCGTAACCAAAAAAAAAAAATTACAATTAGCAAAAAATAGAAAAATCCTTTGCATCCTTATCTTTGTACTAAAATCCAAAAACTTCATACCTCACACAACAATCTAGGAAAAAAAAAGTTCATTAACATAAAAGAAATAAAGAATTAAAACAGTTATATGTCAAACATTGCATCAAATATTAAAAATAATTATTTGGAAGCAAAAATTCAATCCTTACACAGGTACTATAGGTAAACGGAAGCAGCCCTTGCTTAAACTACCCAAACCAACATGTAGAAATAGATAAAGAATAACCCAGAAATGGCCTCATTCAACCCCATGAGAATTATTTAACTATCAAATGAAACATGCACATACCTTACGATTAGGGAAAAAAATCAAAGGTGAGGCCTCCTGTGACCCACAAATAAACAAAACCCAAATTCATAACGAAACAGAACAACAAACCCAAGCAGAAGCACCAACCATAACATTGAACATTATGCCAAATGTGATTAATTGTCTTTCCTTCATTTTCACTTCGAACTAAATTATCTAAACCATAAAAAAGAATTACATAGAGAGAGGCTAAAATAAATAAAAGACTAACAATCATATCCAAACCATTAAAACACCATTGTCTCTTTCTCACAAGCTGCCAAGATATTTTCTACCCAAAGCCTGTTCCAATGGAAAAGAATAATAGTTTTTCATACAAAAGCCTCAAGACAAAAACAAACCAACATATCCTGGAACAAAGCCAATGGTTATTGATTCAATGTACATAAAAGGCCAATGAGATTTTCATGGAAGCAATACTACAAACAATTTGTTTGCGCTTGAGTGTGTGAAGTGTGTGTTTGTGTGCAATGTGTGTGTGTGTGTGTGTGCTGGTTTGTGTGTGCGACGTATGGATAGAAAAAATGAAAGTAAGCTTTTTATTACCCAACCAAAAAGACATTTCCATTAATAAACAGATTACTAAATGTTGTGTTATAGATTTTATCACATGACTTGGCAAATTAAGTGCAAAACAGAGGCTGTCATAATGAAGAGAAATAAGTAACTTCAATAAGCATCAAACATCAACTTGCAGGCAAAAAAAACATTAGGATGTCGGGGCTGTCATTTCAAACTTCAAGCAATTTAGTATAGCATATTCCATTTGCAAAACCTAGAATAATTTGGCAACGAACACACTAAGAAACATCTAGCATATTAAAATTTAGGTGGCAATCCTGCAACACCACTTCTCTGAAGAGCATGGCCAAATATGTACTTAGTTATCTTCATGGTCTAAATATGTATTCCCATCACTGTGTTTGTGGGAAAATAATAATGCATTAGATCAAATCATCATACTAAAAACCTCAAATGCATTTTATCAAATAGCTAGCAGAGTTTGAGAGGGACAACTTATCAAATAGCTAGCAGGCTGGCGAGTTTGAGAAAATTAAAAAAGATAAAAAATTTACTTTCATGGCCACCAAGGAGCTTTACAACAAAAATAAGATGTCAAATATGCATGAGTCTACCATATACATACCCGAACCCACCTTCAATAGATCAGTTGAGCAAATATTTAAGTCAAACAAATCCAAATCAAATATATCCACCTCACTATAGAAATATTACAAACACGTACATGTACTTGAATGTGAGTGATACTCCTAACAAACTAATAACTTCGAATGCAATAAATACGAATAGAATCTACAACATAGAGAAGAAAACACACAAAAAGCCAAAAATATCAAATCAATTATAAAAAATAGAACTTCATGCTATAGATGTATGATCTATTAAAGCAGAAACGACTTTGACAAAAAAAGAGTGCATCAAATGGTTCCCAAACTATGGAAATAGTAATAACGAAAGTCATCTAATTAGGCAACATTAAATCATACACAAACATAATGATACAATCAAACCCAAGAATTAAGAAAGAGAAGATCATAAATTAGGCAGGTTGAAACTGAATACAACCAATTGATTTGGGAACAGTCGACCCTTTGAGCTATCTTTGCGGTTTCAATGATGTCTCAGTTGACAAAGACAGAGGTAGAGAGGCTCATGTCTAGGTATGAGATAAGAACATGACACAAATTTTTTAATCTAACAAATAGAAGCCAGAGCTAATTCCTCTTCTTTTCTGTCTTAATCAGCTCTGTAGCCAATGAATGAAAATAAATAATTTATGTAAGGCATTTTAGCAAACAACTTGTATGCCAAAAGCCAATGGAAATGCATACAGAGAGACAACATATTGTTTGGCCTCAACTATCGAGGTACTATTAAATGTGCTAGAATTTTTTCACAGTATCACTTAGACCTAGATCAGTAAGCACGACTTCAGTCCTCTTCATGTAGGGATGCACTGAGAAGAAAGTAGACATGCATCAGAGGTGTGTGGGCTTCTTTTTCACAGCAGTTGGTTAAACATTGATAGTGAAGCAGAAAGTGAGTATGCATAACAAATTGATTGGTCATCTTATTTGTCAACAAATTGATGTCCAACTGTTGCCAATTACATCATAATCCCCTCTTTCTATATGCATAACAATCCCACAAAATAAAACAATACAAAAAATCATCAAAAATAAATAAAATTCAAAGAACAGCAAAATAAAAGGGGAACTGCATCTTGATCACAATCTGGAGACAAAGAGGGAGAGACGCAGAGAGAGAGTTACCTGGTGGCTGTGGTTGGTTAACTCGTTAGGGTATGAGGATTGTTCCATTACACTATGTTCCTTTGGGGCATTTCTTCGAACAATTGGTGGCCTTTGATATGATCACCATATATCATGTACAAAGCTGCATAGATAAAATAATTTCCAAAATCAATACCAACAAAGATAAAATGATATCCAAAATCAAACAAAACCCATGATTACAATGTATTCCTTTATTCACGCCTCANAGTGAGTATGCATAACAAATTGATTGGTCATCTTATTTGTCAACAAATTGATGTCCAACTGTTGCCAATTGCATCATAATCCCCTCTTTCTATATGCCCACAAAATAAAACAATACAAAAAATCATCAAAAATAAATAAAATTCAAAGAACAGCAAAATAAAAGGGGAACTGCATCTTGATCACAATCTGGAGACAAAGAGGGAGAGACGCAGAGAGAGAGTTACCTGGTGGCTGTGGTTGGTTAACTCGTTAGGGTATGAGGATTGTTCCATTACACTATGTTCCTTTGGGGCATTTCTTCGAACAATTGGTGGCCTTTGATATGATCACCATATATCATGTACAAAGCTGCATAGATAAAATAATTTCCAAAATCAATACCAACAAAGATAAAATGATATCCAAAATCAAACAAAACCCATGATTACAATGTATTCCTTTATTCACGCCTCATCGCCCAAAAACACCTAAAATTATATGTTGACAACATATAAACAACAGAAATTTCTAGAAGGCAGGGTTCGCTGGGTTGAGGATAGAGTGGAGTGGGATGGAGGACAGGGGTTCGCTGGATTTTGTGGCGGTGCTGGTGGCGTGGTAGGGGTTGTGGGTTGAGGATGGAGGACTGACGATGGGGGGCAGCGCCGAAGAGGGTGGTGAGCAGAAAGAACAACCAGAGAAAGAAAGGGATAGAAAGAGGCAGAGAGAGAGAAAGAGAGACTTAACGTGTACTTGACATCGGCGTTGGTTGGGTTGTGACTCCGCTAGTTGTTGTTGGTAGTGTTTGTGGCAGTGACGTTGCTTCGTAGAAGAAGGCAGCGATAGGGAAAGGCGTGAGAGAGCTGAGTGTGAGATTAGAAGAAGATTTGAAATTGGGAGAGAGAGAGAAGTGAGATTAAGATAGATTTCAAGATTTTGGGGATGGCGTGAGAGATTGGGAGAGGGAGGCAGAAGTGAGATCGAGGAAGATTGAGAGAAAAAGATGCGACTCTGAAAATGTTGTTAGGCAAAATTCAGCGCTTACTATAGATCGTCAGATCGAATTTTTTTATATTGGGATTGCATTGATCGTTAGATTGTGTTTATATTTTGTCAAAAAATTAATTATCTAAATTACTAGTTATCTCCGAAATTCAGAGTCAGCCTTATTAACACCCTGTTGATCAATGCCCCTACTTCTACCGTGGAAAGACCNTGCATTGATCGTTTGATGTATTTATATTTTATCAAAAAATTAATTATTTAAATTACTAGTTATCTCCGAAATTCAAAGTCAGCCTTATTAACACCCTGTTGATCAATGCCCCTACTTCTACCGTGGAAAGACCCAAACCCGCCTTTTTAGTTAAAATCAGGCTGAGGACGAGGGTGGGAAGTCTCTCCTTTTTGGGAGGGAGGTCAACCCTCTTTGATTACCTTTTCTTAATAGATCTAGAGATAAAAACGTTTATCTCAACAACGTCCAAGGAGGGGTCAGCTATGTACAGCTTAAAAACCCCAACCTCGAAATATTTGAAGAATCAATATTCATTCCCACATAATGCACTTTGATCCCTTTTTTTTTTGGCCCAAGAAATTGGAGGAAACAAAAAGAATGTGAAAAAAATACCTAAATGAGTAAAATTTGAAATGGTCTTCCCCTTTGAATCATGCTGGAGACCAATTTCGGATTGCAAAAATTGAACCAGAGTAGCTATATTATTTTCTTAATAACAGAGAACTTCAAACATAAATGGTCAAGTATCAAGAGGGCCACCTACTTTATGCTGTTCTTGTTTGGATATTTGCTCATAGTGTTAGATTGATTGTATCGTTGTTTCTCTTTGGGTTCTTATCGCATTACTCGTCGTGTAGATTGATTTTATTATAAGGTTATTGATTAAAATGTAATACAAATGCAACATTACACATCAATACCCGAACACATTTAGTTTAGCAGAAAATTTTTGGGTTCCATTCCTTTACCAACTTCAAGCAGCATTTGTGTCACTTCCTAGCTGATGGTAGTCCTTAGTATATAAATGTAAATGTAACCAATGCATATAAACTGCTAGATGCTTTTCACTGGAGGCTGCGAATGAGGATGCCTTCAAATGTAATGCCTGGTCCAAATGCTAGAGCAAGACCCCATTCTTCCCCTCCTCTCTTCAATTCCTCCCTCATGTACTCCATGACATAGAAGATTGTGTTGCTGCTTACATTCCCAAAGTCCATCAATGCCCTTCTGCTACACTCTAGTTTATCAGTTCTTAAATTGAGAGTGTTCTCTAAACGGTTTAGTATTGCAGGTCCACCGGGATGAACCGCCCAAAACAGATCATTGAACTCCTTCAATCCTGCCTTTGCCATCAGTTTCTTGCAGAATTCTTCGATATTGTCTTCGATTTTCTGAGGGAGGTCTCTGCCAAGTTTGAAATATATGCCCTCTTCTGATAAACGACCATCGATTACATTGTGTGTCCCTGGCAAGAATTGCTGAACTGCATAGTTCAGTTCCATGAAAGGGCACTCTTTCTTTGTTATTGGGTCACTGCCAATTATAACTGCTGCAGCTCCATCACCAAAAAGTGCAGCACCAACAAGGTCATAAGGCCTTGCTTTGTTCGGTGGGCGAAAACCAAGGATGGTAGTTTCAGAAGTTGTCAACAGTACACGACTGCCAGGGTTGTTCTCAGCAATGTCCTTGGCAACTCTAAGCCCCGTGACACCGCCATAGCAGCCTAGGAAGTAGAGCATCACACGGCCAACATCGCTCCTCAGCCCGAGTTCAGTGGCGAGATAAAGATCACCACCAGGCAATCGGATCTCACTTGAGGAAACGTAGACGATGTGTGTGATGTCTTCAGCTGGTCTTCCCCATTCTTTTATGCAAGCAAGGCTTGCTTCTTTGGCCATCTCCAGAACTGCTTGATTTGCTATGTCAAGCCTTTGTTTGATTGTTGGTGAGCCCTCTGTTGCCAGCTCTGGGTACTTATCTAGGATCTCTTTGGACATGACTGTGTATCTGGTTTTCACAGTTGTGGTTTTACCTAGCAAAAGAATAAAATGCATGATATCATTGCATTTTGGTATCTCTTTCAAAGAACAGTGAACAGTGAGATCATTGCAAAAGCCCGTAGCTCATGGATTGGCCTGTTAGCCTGGAGAGCTGTCGGGCCATGGGTTGCCTCCTAATAACCCAACGGGTAGGATGTAGCCCGATTTTTGGCCTGTTAGGCTCAATGGACTAACCCGATTAAAGCCCCAGAAGGAGGCCCGATGGTGCGCTGATCAAAATTCAAAAATATAAAAGTTAGGACAAATTTTGGAAAAAATAAAAAAAGGGCCGTTAGGAGTGGATTAGTATATAACCCACTAAAGACACATCATCCACACTTGGTTGTTGTGGGCCACAATTTCATTGGGTGGGTTGGCCCGACATGGTCAACAACCCGCAGGCCTGGCCCGTTGCCAACACCAAGGAATTCATGCTAAACAAGAAATGTATTTATATTTATATATAAATTCAAGATGCTAGATGTTTTATTATATGGATATAGCTTTTCTTACACAGGCGCTCGAGTTTCTCCTTAATAGCCAAGTCGTTGCATTTTGTGTCGCGAATGTAGCCCTCCACCAAGCATTCCTGAGGAATGAGTTGGCTTGGGAATGCCTTCCCCATTGCAAGTATGGCTGCCTTTCCAGGCGTCAGGCCACGCCGAGTTGGTGAAAAGCAATGCACAGAACCTCCATTGTTGTTGTTGTTGAGCTGAGACATGGCTGAGCAGTGAGCAAGGAGACAGTAATTGGTGTGAGATGAGAGGTTACTGCAGAGTTCAATTCATGAGGTGGAAGAATATAAATGAGAGATGGGATTGTTCTTGGAGAGAGGTTGGTATCAAGGAAGACTAGCATGAATTGTAGGAAATGTGTATTGTAATGGTTCTGGTGTTTTTTTGGGTACCTGGGGCCGGATGTGTGATGGTATTATATGCAACAGTCTTTGTCTGTCTCTTTAAAATGAGTTCTCAGTGGTGAGAGATTACCCAATCCCCACTTACCATTTGATTACAAGTTTGAGTTCAATTTATTTAATCAAATACGATGAGATCGGGTTTGGAAAAAAAACATGGTGAACTGAGCTTGAATGATTTTTAGTCATATCTCAAACAATCTTTGTGGACAGAACCGACTATGCTCAAACAGTCTAATGATCCGCTCTATTGAATTTTCGGCTCCAAGTCTAAGAATCGCGAGACAACTTCAAAAAAAAAAAAGGCTCAAAATTTTGAAAGGTCCCTCCAAAAGTTTTTAAAAGAGCAAGCCCTTTGTTGTGAATATAGCAGTGGGCATCATTTTTGATTTATTTTGGATTGTTTCGAACATAGATGTCCATTTTGATACTTTTTGTAATGTCTCGTTTTATGATTTGTTACGTAGCCCATGTCTTTTCTAGATTGTTTTCCTCAATTCTTAGAAAAAGTTTTGATTTGATTCATGAAATTTTTATTTTCCATAATTGGTACTACACAAAAATCTAATGATTTTTTATTTTTTTATGATTCTAACATTGTGTCAATTATTGAATTTGTGGAGCAAATCATCATAATCAAACATTACAAGAAAATGACATATTTGTTTTGGTCTCATAAAAAGAAATGACGCTTGAAAGAGAAATTGGATCTATATTTTGTGAACAGAAAAACATAAAATTCGTATTTCTTCATCTCAAAAAATAAAAAAATTAGAATGAATATAATTTAATAACATATATATAATGTTATTAACACGATTGAGCAGTGATGTGAATATAAAGTGTACTGAACAATTAAATTCGGTTCAGTCTGAACTCCAAGACTCTTGGGAATAGAATTTGGGAATAAGTAGGTGATCACAGAGTGTTATAGTAGTTTATCAATTCGGGAGTTTGGTTAATCCACTCTTAATGGAGTCTCTTGCTCCTAAATGTATTGATTACTATGAAATTTACAGAAAGTGTCTTGATGAGGCTACAATGACTTGTTATTATTTTCGAGGGATTTGCTTCCTATTTATAGTTATAACTGGGTCTAGCTTGATCTGAGGCGAATTCCTCGCCCCTCCCTTACAGTGGTCACTTTTATTACACAACGTAGTGGATGTTGGGGCGATTACGAGACTCGCGTCTGCTGAGTAATTATTACTACAAAGGAGATATTTGGCAGGATCTAGCTATCCTTTGCACAGCTTTCTTTGAGATGTAGATATAGAGAGTTGAGGTTTGAGGTCTAGGTTTGCAAATAACATAGATGCTCCTGACCTAAGTGGCATGATCTGCCTTGTCGAACTCAATCTTAGGTATTTTTGTGGTACCATAAATATATATAGTATTTCATTAAATATTAAATATGCCTCACTTGTAAATTTCGCCTTTGGCCCCTAAGACAACCACAACAATTCAAACCCGAAAGAGGCATCTCCATGCTTCTTGATTATATCAAAAAGCATCTCTAAGCCGAAAAATTGGATGACGGGTTTGTAATCAATTGATTTTGGATACATGGCCGACTTCTTGTCATTGTTCCAAATGAAATGGTTGGATAATCTTATGTTTATGCATTTATTTAGGGGTAAATTAGGAATTTAATTTTTTTTGTGGATGTTTATATTTAGAGAGTAAATTATACTTTACCTCTGAACTATTATCTTTATTTGACTTTGTACCATCAACTATAAAATTTCTTACATTACACTTTAAAGTATCAATTTTATTTCATATCAATTCAATAGATAACGATAAGTTTAAAAATATGTCAAAGGAGGGAGGAAAACTCCAAAAAACTTTCCGCTAAGTGTCTAGTATCACTTTATTTTACCTCTTTTGCAACTAAATGATTATTAGGAGAAAAAAAAGGTTAGTTAGAGGAAGAAAATTTGAAGGTTAAGAAGAGCAAAGTTATGAATGAATATTTTTCTTGATTTTTGACTTGTACATGTGCAATAAACAGTTGTTTATTGGCAGTACAGACTACTCATATTCATATTTATCATCAAAAAATTGACAGTTGTTATCTATTGAAGTGATATGAAATAAAATTGATACTTTTAAGTGTAATATGATAAAATTTATAATTGAGAGTACAAAGTAAAATAAAAGTAATAATTTAAGGGGATAAAGTGTAATTTCGCCATATGTAGAAGTAGTATATAGATAGATAGGTAACAAAAAAATTTGGTGATTTTGATAAGTATTTTTCTGAATCATTTGGAATCGCTTAATTACTTGGCTCATCATCCGTGGCTAACTTCGTTCACTCCCTTTTTACTTTATTTATGTGATTCATTTGATTATTGCTATTATATGCAAGTTTTGCATTAAAAAAAGGTTTTTTTTCTTGATATTTTTATTGTATAATGATTTAAATTTTAAAACTTATGTTAAAATTAATACATCTTCATTAAAAATTTTGTTTTAGGCCCCAATTTGTATCCGCCGGCCCTAATTGAGTCAAACACATTATAGTATGATTTTGAACTTCTCCGTTTGTTTTTACTTGTCTCATGAAATCATCACATTTTGATCATCTCAATTTTAAAAATCCCAACTGTCCAAAGTTTCAACTTCCCACATCATTGAGGGACACATTATATAAGTTGTTTTTTTTAAGTTATTGGTCAGGTGTATCCAAACCAACTTACGTGCATTTCGACTAATTCCATTTTCAATCTAGTCAAAAACAGGCCATTAACGTTGAAATTATGGTATTTATGAAAGAAAAATCTCACGGTCTAAAAGTTGCTAAAATTCAAATTTAAGACATTTCGTTTTACGGCTGATCTCTGTTACCTCTTAGAGTTACTCATCATATATGATGTCCCATGATGATATCTTCTGATCATCTTAGCTTGCTAAGTGTAAAAAAAGTAGTCAAAGTTCATGGGTTCCCAAACTCTCCCCAAGCTTCCTGTCATAGATTTCACTTAAAAAACCTTGAAGCCTAGTACAGTCTCGTGGCTCTCCACATGCAGCGACGTCCGTGGTGCCCTGGAAGAGTACGGCAGTTTCGTGGCAGTTTATGATAAAGTTTCTTCAGAGCTCAACAATAGAGTCCTTGGTGTCGTGAAAGAGTTGTTTGATCTCCACACAGAAATTAAAGCACAGAACATTTGTGAAAAGCTTTATATTGGCTATGTTGGGGAATTGCCTAATATTCAAATCCATGAGAGCTTAGGGATTGAAAATGCAACAACTCTCGAAGGAGTTCAGAGTTTCACAAACCTCATGTGGCCCTCAGGAAATTACAAATTCTGGTATCATATTAATCTTAACTCTCTTTTCGTATGTTAAAAATTTTATAGTTTGTTGGGCTTTTGTGAAATCTAGTTTTTTGTGTTGATCCGGATGATAACCTGACCCAAAATAATGTTGTGTGGTTTTTAATGAAAAATTTTCTTAGGGTTAGTACATGGAGTGAAGGTTTTTTGGTCTGCTTTGTAGCCCGGTGCAGTACATATAAAACCTATTGTTTTTGGTGATTAAGATTTAATTGGTTCAGTACGGCCGCTCTATATTCTTTCTTGATATTAGTGAAATCCCTGCAGTTTCGTGGACGTATGCAAATTATCGAACCACGTAAATATTATTTTTTGCGTATGATTGTTTATCCTTGGCGTGTGTTTTCTCTATTATTGCTTTTCACAGATGTGAGAATTTTATGTGAATTTTCTAACATAGTTATTCCTCCAAAAATTCTTTTGTTATTGACAGAAAGATCTCAATCGACAGATAGTTCTCAGGTGATTGTCTGTGAGAGGTACAAATGTCTTGTTTCAAAATTTACTTGGATGAATTTAATGAACAAACACACAGTGCAAATAACTAATAAAAGATGATTCCTTTATTAATTCAATTGAAGAGACTTCGACTACAGAAAAAACTAAATAACAACCTTGAATGCAGCAATAACCGTCTCTTAAAATTACTCCTAAAAATGACCAGATCATGATTCTTATAAGGGTTTGAATGTATCTTTCATCTTCTCCACTACGTGCCTTTTATAGCCATTGTCCTCGACTGTTTTGTCTCCATCGATAGTTAGCTAACTTGGTAACTTTCAATTAGTTATTTTTTCTTTTCAAGTATTGTTGTGATTGATCATCTCTCGCATTTCTTCAGATTCTGCCATGTGACATCTCCTCAGTGCATCCAGATATCGATACATTGAATATTCATAAGATTTGATATTTCATGTCTAAACAATAATCAAGTCATATTAATGTCTCACATTGTTTCTAAATCATATCTCCTGAAAACTTGTTTAATCCCCAGCGTGACGGATTTATAGAGTTTTGAATCAATTGTGTGTTGTTTTTACATTGTGTAATTTATGTGATGTCAAAGTTTACTCAATTGATACTCAACCTATTTATAAGTTGGTGTATAAGTTAGAGATTATTGTCGATTTATTCAATAAACCGGTTTGATGGTCCAACTGGTTTATGATTCATACTTGTCAAAGTGAAACCTATACTTTAATTTCGAGGGATAGTACAAGTAGTAATAGAGACAAATTATAAACTTAGACGTTCTAAGTTTGAATTTTAGTAACCCCTTGAAACCAGACCATAAAAGGATTAATCAAGATATGTGTAAGATGGTTCGAACACTTTTGACTGTTGAACGAAAAAAAAAACTTAAGGGTCGTTTGTTTTCTATCTTTGTCTTGTGTTTTGTATTTGTATTTTTAATTTTTGTCAAAAATGAAAACAAAAACATATTTGGATACTGTTTTTGTTTTTGTTTTATATTAATTTTTTGAAAACAAAGAAAAAAATATGGGAACAAAAATTTTTTATTCTAGGAAACACGCGAAACACAAAACACGCAAGATTGGTATAAATGAGGTCTCAACTTCGAGTCTTGTTAACCACAGAATATCACTTCATATGACATAGTATAAATATGTGGTCTGTTTGGCCCTCACACAACACATACGAATCAACCCCTCTCTTTTCTTCGCTCATCTACTCTCTTCTCTTCGCTCATCTACTCTCTTCTCTTCTCTTCTCTTCGTTCAGCCCCTCTATTCTCTGTCTCAACGAGCTCTCCCAGCTACTCTCTTCTTTTCTCTGTCTCAGGCCCTTTCTTCTCTTCTCTTCTCTTCTCAGTCTCAGCTTATCTCAAGAAGATGGGACTTCCACTCAGATCGACGAAAAAGGGACTTCCACTCAGATCGACGGGCAGCCCCTCTATTCTCTGTCTCAACGAGCTCTCCCAGCTACTCTCTTCTTTTCTCTGTCTCAGGCCCTTTCTTCTCTTCTCTTCTCTTCTCAGTCTCAGCTTATCTCAAGAAGATGGGACTTCCACTCAGATCGACGAAAAAGGGACTTCCACTCAGATCGACGGGCAGCCCCTCTATTCTCTGTCTCAACGAGCTCTCCCAGCTACTCTCTTCTTTTCTCTGTCTCAGGCCCTTTCTTCTCTTCTCTTCTCTTCTCAGTCTCAGCTTATCTCAAGAAGATGGGACTTCCACTCAGATCGACGAAAAAGGGACTTCCACTCAGATCGACGGGCAGCCCCTCTATTCTCTGTCTCAACGAGCTCTCCCAGCTACTCTCTTCTTTTCTCTGTCTCAGGCCCTTTCTTCTCTTCTCTTCTCTTCTCAGTCTCAGCTTATCTCAAGAAGATGGGACTTCCACTCAGATCGACGAAAAAGGGACTTCCACTCAGATCGACGGGCAGCCCCTCTATTCTCTGTCTCAACGAGCTCTCCCAGCTACTCTCTTCTTTTCTCTGTCTCAGGCCCTTTCTTCTCTTCTCTTCTCTTCTCAGTCTCAGCTTATCTCAAGAAGATGGGACTTCCACTCAGATCGACGAAAAAGGGACTTCCACTCAGATCGACGGGCAGCCCCTCTATTCTCTGTCTCAACGAGCTCTCCCAGCTACTCTCTTCTTTTCTCTGTCTCAGGCCCTTTCTTCTCTTCTCTTCTCTTCTCAGTCTCAGCTTATCTCAAGAAGATGGGACTTCCACTCAGATCGACGAAAAAGGGACTTCCACTCAGATCGACGGGCAGCCCCTCTATTCTCTGTCTCAACGAGCTCTCCCAGCTACTCTCTTCTTTTCTCTGTCTCAGGCCCTTTCTTCTCTTCTCTTCTCTTCTCAGTCTCAGCTTATCTCAAGAAGATGGGACTTCCACTCAGATCGACGAAAAAGGGACTTCCACTCAGATCGACGGGCAGCCCCTCTATTCTCTGTCTCAACGAGCTCTCCCAGCTACTCTCTTCTTTTCTCTGTCTCAGGCCCTTTCTTCTCTTCTCTTCTCTTCTCAGTCTCAGCTTATCTCAAGAAGATGGGACTTCCACTCAGATCGACGAAAAAGGGACTTCCACTCAGATCGACGGGCAGCCCCTCTATTCTCTGTCTCAACGAGCTCTCCCAGCTACTCTCTTCTTTTCTCTGTCTCAGGCCCTTTCTTCTCTTCTCTTCTCTTCTCAGTCTCAGCTTATCTCAAGAAGATGGGACTTCCACTCAGATCGACGAAAAAGGGACTTCCACTCAGATCGACGGGCAGCCCCTCTATTCTCTGTCTCAACGAGCTCTCCCAGCTACTCTCTTCTTTTCTCTGTCTCAGGCCCTTTCTTCTCTTCTCTTCTCTTCTCAGTCTCAGCTTATCTCAAGAAGATGGGACTTCCACTCAGATCGACGAAAAAGGGACTTCCACTCAGATCGACGGGCAGCCCCTCTATTCTCTGTCTCAACGAGCTCTCCCAGCTACTCTCTTCTTTTCTCTGTCTCAGGCCCTTTCTTCTCTTCTCTTCTCTTCTCAGTCTCAGCTTATCTCAAGAAGATGGGACTTCCACTCAGATCGACGANCAGATTTCTGAGTTGTGTTGTGAAACTGGGATGATGTGTAGTGTCTCAGTCTGTACAGTATGGTACAGTCTGCTGTATAGGTAGATGGTGTTGTGGTACTGCATGAAAAAAAAATTGGTTGTATAAAAAAATTTGGTCAGGCATCTGGTGTATAGCTAAAAGGCTTGGGCAGTTGGGAGCATTTTGTCTATTCTGGTCTGCTTCTGCATTCAGTCTGGGCTGGTGCTGTGTTGATTTATTCTGGAGCTTGTTGCTGGTGGGGATCTAAGGCACGAAGCTGTTCAAGTTTAAGAGCCTTTTATTGTAATTTGGATGATTTTGATCCTTTTGAAGGATTAAAGCTATTTTTTTCTTATTTTTTAGAACATCTTATTCTTTGATTCTTGTAATTCATTCTTTTTGGAAATAAAATTTTTTCCTTTTACAAAAAAAAAAAAGGAGGTGTAGTTTGATTCTTGTAATTTCTGAATTTATTCAATAAAATTTCTATTTTTTTTTAAAAAAAAATGATATATTATAAAACATATTTAGAATATTTAGGATAAAACGTGTATTAGTTATCAAACATATTTTTTGTTTTTTATTTTATAATTTGATAGACAAAAATAACATTCAAATATATTTTTATTCAGTATTTATCACAAAACAGAGATAAAAATTATCTCTATTTTTTATTATTTTGAAGACGCGAAAGCGAAAACAAAAAGGTTACAAAACAATCTTTTAGTCTTTATGGTTATGTGCCAATTACGTGTCAGATAACAGTGCTAATGGTAACCTTAATATATATATTTATTGTTTATTTTATTTTTGTCCAGCGAAAGTATCCTAGAGTATGCAAAACATATAGCAGAATTAGAACAACTGGTGAGCAAGATGGTGTTTGAAAGCTATGGTGTGGAGAGGAACTATGACTCGCACCTCCGATCAACCACCTACCTCCTCCGACCGGTGAGATATCGAGCACCGGAAAAAAACGAGAGCAATGCCGGGGGGTCGATTCATACGGACAAGAGCTTTGTAACTATACTTCGTCAAAATCAGGTTCAAGGTTTACAAATACCGGCCCGGAATGGCGACTGGATCTCCGTCGACTTCCCACCGGAAGCCTTCGTGATCATTGCCGGCGATGCTTACATGGTGTGTAATTATTATTATTTTTTCTATAAGATCCGTTTAATTAGAAAGAAAAAAAAAATATAGAATGTGAAGTAAAAAAAAATAAAATGATCAAAAATATATTTTTATATATGTATTTAATTAGAATAGAAAATTTACAGAAAAGTTTTTTAAAAAATACATTCTATTGTTTGAATTAAAAGAAAGTTACTAGAAAATTATTCTAATTGCCTAAATTATTCTTAATTAGGTTAACTCGGTATAAAGAAGAAGAAAAATATGTATTATAATTAAAAATTAATTTTTTTTCAAAAAAAATTTGCTCATAATCTAGTTCTGGGACAATGATCGTCTAGCCAAATTTATATTATTTTAGGATTAATAACTAATTGAATGTTTTAAAAAAAAGAAGGATAAAATGAAAAGTTAGGTTATTGATAACAATTTTCTTGTGTTTTTTAAAAGAAAAAAAAATTTTGATTAATTGTGAGAAAATTTAAGCATGAAAAAAAATTATTTTTTTTTATAATTTTTTATTTTTTATCTTTCTAAACATTTTTTCACGTGATTCTAGTGAACAAACAGAACCTATAGAAACCTTTTTTTGTCTCATTGGTACATACTTATTGGAAAGTCACTATTAACGATCACATCTCGTACAAGTCGTACCAATTTAAAATTTGTTTAATCTATTATAATTTAGTTATAAAGGTGTTTAATCTTTTCTTGTAGGCATGGAGCAATGGCCGAATACTTTCCCCAAATCATCAAGTCATATTACACCAGAATAAAACAAGATACACACAATAGGTGTGTTTTCATTCAACAAGGGAACAACTCACATACCTGAAGAGATGGTTGATGAGGAACATCCATTGCAGTTTGGGTCATTCGAAAATATGGAACTACTTATGCCCAATGTCAATTATACGATTCGCCCAACTGTAAACTCCGTAACACATGGTTAGAAAAAAGACGTATCATATCATGTTGTGTTTGTGTTTGAAATTGTTGATGATGAGCATCCGTTGCAGTATAGGTCGTTTGACAACATTGGGCTGCTTCAGTCCTATTTCGAAAACCCGACTCGCCTCACTGACAAGACTGCAAGAAGATATTGTGGTATCCATGCTTGAAACTGCTTTCTCAGAGGCAATTCATCAGTAATGTGTGTGTGAGAATATAGGTATGTGTACTTGTGTGTGTTNTTTCCTTACTATGGGAAATAATAGGACTGGTAACTGGCTTCAATGGATGGTGATAAGTTATTTTCACCATTGACATCATCTTTTTCCTCCATACAGACCGGAATAAATTTTCCTCTAAGATATAATAAAACGTAGACTGAGTCGATTCATTGTTTTAGCATTGTTTTGTGTCATAGACCATCTTTCTTGGATCATCTTCAATTTTGACTTAAATTTGAGTAAAAAGTTTGATTTGATACAAACTTTTCCATGGATCAAGAACTCAAATTTAAAAGAAGGTGAATTAAGACCATTAATTCTTTAAAGGAGAGTGAAATCCGATGATTAAAAATCTCAAATCCTGATTCAAACTTAAATTTAAGTAAAAACAAGGGAGAATTGTACTTTGTACGTCGAAAGATTTCAAATTTTTTATTTTGTACCCTCAAAGATTAAATTTTTTACATTGCATTCTCAATATATCAAAAATATTGTAATGTGGCCCTTGAGTTAATTTTTTATTAATTTTTCTGTCAGTATCAATGGGTAGGCACCACCCTCCCATTCCCTTACCTCCAAAGATCCGTTTGCTGTCTCTTTTTATACATTACAAGAATACCTACTCACTCTTAGGTGTGATGAATGAAAACATTTTACATAAGATACCAAACCTAAGTCCAATAATTTAGTATGAGCCACCAACTCTTAGTCTTAAAATATGACAATTCTTATGTTTATGTGTTTACTTGCCTTATCTAATCTTTGCATAAATTGTCTTGTTATTGCCCAAAAACACCAATTTCGATACTCCCGATTTGCCTAAATTTCAATCGCCCACCATTAAAGGCTAGTGTTACTGATGATGCAGGGAAGAAGGTAGAAATAAGGGTTTAATGAACGAAAACGAGATAATAAAAATAAATCGTTGATTTGCGGACGAATACATCTAAATCGATATTTGTGCATAAGTCAACAATTTATTTTCATTATCCCTTTTTGGTTCATTAAATCCTTATTTCTACGCAATTCCCTGCATCGGTTACTTAATGGTCCAAGCAACACTTTATTCAGACTTTTTTTCAAATTGTATAATGAACTATTTCTAAACTCATCTTGGCAACGAGTGATATACAAGCAACGTGTGGCTTAGCTCAGTACAAAATGTTCAATCTGATGATGCACAAAATTAGTTTGCATACCACCTGTCAATTAAGTAATATAAAATAAAATAAAGTATAGAGAGAGGAGACAAGGTTTATAGTAGTTCGGTCAATATGACCTACGTCTATTTTGAATGACAAGGGTCGCCGAAATTTTATTATCTCCGGTGTGGAGGGAGTGCTGGTTTTTGGTGGAGTCTAATTTTTTATGTTTAATTCGGATGATGATCCGATTTGAAAAATATTGCGTGATTTTTAATGAAAATTTTTTTGAGACTTAGTCCATGAATTTTTTTTTGGGCCTGTTTGTTTGTAACCCAGTGCAAGTCATATAAAACCTGTTTCTTTTGAGTGATTGGGGTTGATTGATTTTGTACGGTCGTCGCCCTCTCTATAATCGTTCTTGAGAATAGTGAAATCCCTGCAGTTTTGTGAATGTAGGCAAATTGTCGAACCACGTAAATATTATCTTGTGCGTGTAATTATTTTTCTTTAGCGTGTGCTTTCTCTATTGTTGTTTCTCATAGATTTAGAAATTTCGTGAGAATTTCCTAACAACGAGTATCAGAGCTTGGTTTAGGGTTGAGTGGGAGCAATGGCAGAGGAAGCAAGAAAGGCATCTAGAATAGAAAAGTCCGATGGCACAAACTTTGGATTCTAGAGGATACAAATCGAGGATTATCTTTATGAGAAGAAGTTGCATCTGCCGCATCTAGGAGAAAACCTGCGACTATGAAGGATGAAGATTGGACTTTTCTTGACAAATAAGTCCTGGGAGTTATCGGGTTAACTCTGTCTAGGTCTGTTGCGCGAAATTTTGTAAAGGAGAAGACTACAACAGATTTGATGAAGGCTTTGTCTGGTATTTATAAAAAGTCATCTGCAAACAATAAGGTGCATCTGATGGAGAAACTGTTCAATTTGAAGATGGCAGAGAACATATCAGTAGCACAACATTTGAACGAATTTAACACTATCACAAATCAATTGTCGGCTGTAGAAATTGATTTTAATGATGAGATTCGTGCACTGATCGTTTTAGCTTCACTGCCAAATAGTTGGGAGGCAATGAGGATAACAGTAAGCAATTCTACAGGAAAGAAAAAACTGAAGTACAATGACATACGAAATTTAATTCTGACTGAGGAGATTCGCAGAAAAGATGCAGATGAAACCTCAGGATCTGGTTCTGCACTAAACCTTGAGACAAGAGGCAGAGGTAATGACAGAAATTCAAATCGAGGCAGATCAAAATCCAAAAATTCTAATCGGAACAGAAGTAAATCTAGATCAGACCAACAAGCAAAATGCTGGAATTGTAGAAAAATGAGTCACTTTAAGAGGCAATGCAAAAGTCTTAAGAAAAAGAATGAAGATGATTCTGCTAATGCTGTAACGGAAGAGGTACAAGATGTATTACTTCTTGTAGTAGACAGTTTACTTGATGATTGGATTTTGGACTTAGGAGCTTCATTTCATACTACTCCACACCAAGAAATCATGCAGAACTATGTTGCAGGTGATTTTGGTAAGGTGTATTTGGCTGATGGTACAACCTTGGATGTTATGGGTATGGGAAACATCCGAATATCATTGTCCAATGGGTCTGTTTGGTTACTGGAGAAGGTTCGACATATTCTTGACCTGAGGAGGAATCTGATTTCTGTTGGGCAACTTGATGATGAAGGGCATGCTATATTGTTTGTTGGTGGTACTTAGAAGATCACAAAGGGAGCCAAAATATTGGCTCGTGGAAAGAAGACTGGCACTCTATATATGACCTCAAGTCCAAGAAACACAATTGCAGTCGCTGAAGCAAATACTAATACAAGCTTATGGCATCGCAGATTTGGTTACATGAGTGAGAAAGGGATGAAGATACTGCCGTCAAAGGGAAAACTACCAGAATTAAAGTCTGTTGATTTTGACATGTGTGAAAGCAGCATCTTAGGAAAGCAAAAAAAAGTGAGCTTCTTGAAAACTGGTAGAACACCAAAGGCTGAAAAATTGGAGTTAGTACACACGGATTTGTGGGGGCCTTCCCCAGGTGTATCCCTTGGGGGTTTAAGGTATTACATCACTTTCATTGATGACTCAAGCAGAAAGGTATGAGTTTATTTTCTGAAAAATAAATTTGATGTATTTTATAGTTTTAAGAAGTGGAAGGCTATGGTTGAGACAGAAACAGGTTTGAAAGTAAAATGTTTGAGGACAGACAATGGAGGAGAGTACAGATATAGAGGGTTCAGCAACTATTGTGCTGCACATGAGATTGGGATGGAGAAAACCATTCCTGGGACACCACAGCAAAATAGTATGACTGAGCGCATGAATAGAACTCTCAATGAGCGTGCTAGGAGTATGAGGTTGTATGTTGGACTACCAAAGACATTTTGGGCTAATGCTGTTAGTACTGCAGCTTACTTGATAAACCGAGGACCTTTAATTCCCATGGAGTTCAGACTTCCTGAAGAGGTATGGAGTGGTAAAGAAGTAAAGTTTTCCTATTTAAAAGTTTTTGGTTGTGTTTCATATGTTCATATTGATTCTAATGCTTGTACTAAACTTGATGCAAAGTCTAGAATATATTTTTTCATTGGTTATGGTGATGAGAAATTTGGCTATCATTTTTGGGATGAACAGAACAGGAAAATCATCAGAAGTAAAAATGTGATATTTAATGAACAGGTTATGTACAAAGACAGGTCAACTGTAGTGTCAGATGTCACAGAGATAGATCAAAAGAATTCTGAGTTTGTCAACTTAGATGAATTGATTGAATATATTGTCCTGAAAAGGGGTGAAGAAGATAAGGAGAATGTAGAATCATAAGTAGATCAGTGTACACCTATAGTCCGTAGATCTTCTAGAAAAAACTCAAACTCTGACAATCTCGGCTCAATTAACACTTATATTAAAATCATTAAGCTCTCCACCATTGAACTCTATATAAACGTGAGCGTTTTAACTGGCTTAGTGTAAAAAAGTCCCAAAAAAATAAAAAAACAAAGTCTATAAAATCATATGGCTTCCCAAACTCTTCCAACCTTCCTATCATAGATTTCACCATGGAAAACTTGAAGCCTGGCACAAACTCATGGCTCTCGGCACACAGCGATGTCCGGCGTGCCATCAAAGAGTACGGCTCTTTCATAGCTCTATATGATAAGGTTTCTGCAGAGCTTAACAATGAAGTCTTTAATAAATTGAAAGAGTTGTTTGATCTTCCTACAAAAACTAAGTCCCAGAACTGGTCCGACAAGGTTTACTATGGATATGTTGGCCAACTGGCTCATCTTCCAATCCACGAGAGTTTGGCGATTGCAGATGCAAACACTCTTGACGGAGTTCAAAGCTTCACAAACCTCATGTGGCCCTCTGGAAATGACAACTTCTGGTATTATTAGTCCATATCCTATCCATTTATAGTCGTGTCTAAGTCACCTGCTGTCGGATTCATGTTGTTTGTTTCGTGCTAATTCGTTTGCTGCTGTATGATATGGTAAGGATTTTTTTTTTTTTTTCAACTTTATACGTTCGTTTGGTTAATTACCAACATTGAGTTACCTCGTACTTCCGGTTGATGTACTTTTTTGTGTGTTTTGTCAAGTGAAAACATGCTAAAGTATGGAAAGAAAGTAGCAGAACAAGAACAACTAGTGAGCAAGATGGTGGTTGAGAGCTATGGTTTGGAGAGGTACTACAACTCGCACCTCCATTCAATGACTTACTTCCTTCGAACCATAAAATACAGAGAACCCGAAATCGATGAGACCAATGCTGGGACTGACATTCATACGGAAAAGAGCCTTATAACAATACTTCATCAAAATCAAGTCCATGGTTTGCAGATTCAGGCCAGGAATGGCAACTGGATCGACGTTGACTTCACACTGGAATCCTTTGTGATCATTGCCGGCGATGCTTCCTTGGTGTGTAGTCTATCTTTCTACTAAGAACAACTTTTTTCAAGTACTAATTATTAGGAACATGTTTGAGTACTTCTGTTTTTTCGGCAAGTACGTTTGAATACTTGCATAGAGAGAGCAAATCACTTAAAAAAAACAGCAAAAAAGTACTGAGAAAAGCGTCATTAAATGACACCTTGAGAATAAGTTAACAAGAGAGTAGTGTCACTAATGCTAGTAAGTAGTCATGTTGTATTAAATTTTATCAATCTATTCTCAATTGATTTATACAGTAATATAAAGTCGGGTTCGAATTTTGTATTAGCCATGTATAATAGCTAGAGTTCAAACTGTACATTGTTGGGTTTATCGATTGTTTTTAGTGGATATATCTAGTGGATCAATTATGTGATAATTTAAACCCGTTATAACTGAACTCATAATCGGGTTGACGGATGGTGTTAAAGATTTATTAGGTATCCCTTCTAAAGTCCCACATAAATAGGGGTAAAGCCAATAAGTAAATTCCTATAGATGCCTTGGGTTCTGCAAAATTATATTGAGACTCTTCCATAATAGAAAAATAAAACCAAAATCACTTAGGTTTTATGTGCTAAATCAATAACACTCCTTTCATGCGATAAAAAAAGGGTCGACTAGTATACGAAACTCCTGTTACATATACAGTAGGACCGAAGGTTTAGATGAACACAACTTAACCTCTAGCATGCGGAGAGGTTGTTTCCAACAATACTAGCACAAACTCCTCAGCAATATGTATTTTTTGTTAATTTAATCCTCATTATATCAATTTTTTATGGAAGTGATCACGTGTCATTTTTTTAGACGGTATCATGTGCCCAAGGACCAAAATGACACGAATTGAATACTTTAGTAATCAAATTTATAAAATTGATACAATAAGAACTAAATTGATAAAAAATAAATATTTTAAAGACCAAAAAATGCGATAAACCCTTTTTTCTATTACAAGTGAAACGGCATTTCTTTCTTGTTGCAGGCATGGAGCAATGACAGAATACACTCACCTAGGCACCAAGTCATCTTACGGGAGAAGAAAACAAGATACACAATAGGTGTGTTTGCATACAACATGGGAACAACTGACATACCACCAGAGATGGTTGACGATGAGCATCCATTGCAGTTTANCAGAGATGGTTGACGATGAGCATCCATTGCAGTTTAGGTCGTTCGACAACATGGGGCTGCTTCAGTATTATTTCGACAACCCGACTTGCCTAACTGGGGAGACTGCATGGAGCTATTGTGGCATCCGTGCTTAAAAACCGCTTTCTCTGAGGCAATTTTTCAGTAATCTAGTCTGCCTGGTCACCTCATGTTATGNAGCAAATACTAATACAAGCTTATGGCATCGCAGATTTGGTTACATGAGTGAGAAAAGGATGAAGATACNAAGAAGACTGACACTCTATATATGACCTCAAGTCCAAGAAACACAATTGCAGTCGCTGAAGCAAATACTAATACAAGCTTATGGCATCGCAGATTTGGTTACATGAGTGAGAAAAGGATGAAGATACTGCTGTCAAAGGGAAAACTACCAGAATTAAAGTCTGTTGATTTTGACATGTGTGAAAGCAGCATCTTAGGAAAGCAAAAAGAAGTAAGCTTCTTGAAAACTGGTAGAACACCAAAGGCTGAAAAATTGGAGTTAGTACACACGGATTTGTGGGGGCCTTCCCCAGGTGTATCCCTTGGGGGTTTAAGGTATTACATCACTTTCATTGATGACTCAAGCAGAAAGGTATGAGTTTATTTTCTGAAAAATAAATTTGATGTATTTTATAGTTTTAAGAAGTGGCAGGCTATAGTTGAGACAGAAACAGGTTTGAAAGTAAAATGTTTGACGACAGACAATGGAGGAGAGTACATATATACAATGGAGGAGAGTACATATATGGAGGGTTCAACAACTATTGTGCTGCACATGAAATTGGGATGGAGAAAACCATTCCTGGGACACCACAGCAAAATAGTATGACTGAGCGCATGAATAGAACTCTCAATGAGCGTTCTAGGAGTATGAGGTTGTATGTTGGACTACCAAAGACATTTTGGGCTGATGCTGTTAGTACTGCAGCTTACTTGATAAACCGAGGACCTTTAATTCCCATGGAGTTCAGACTTCCTGAAGAGGTATGGAGTGGTAAAGAAGTAAAGTTTTCCTATTTAAAAGTTTTTGGTTGTGTTTCATATGTTCATATTGATTCTAATGCTTGTACTAAACTTGATGCAAAGTCTAGAATATATTTTTTCATTGGTTATGGTGATGAGAAATTTGGCTATCATTTTTGGGATGAACAGAACAAGAAAATCATCAGAAGTAAAAATGTGATATTTAATGAACAGGTTATGTACAAAGACAGGTCAACTGTAGTGTCAGATGTCACAGAGATAGATCAAAAGAATTCTGAGTTTGTCAACTTAGATGAATTGATTGAAAATATTGTCCTGAAAAGGGGTGAAGAAGATAAGGAGAATATAGAATCATAAGTAGATCAGTGTACACCTGTACCTGATGTCCGTAGATCTTCTAGAAAAAACTCAAACTCTGACAATCTCGGCTCAATTAACACTTATATTAAAATCATTGAGCTCTCCACCATTGAACTCTATATAAACGTGAGCGTTTTAGCTGGCTTAGTGTAAAAAAGTCCCAAAAAAATAAAAAAACAAAGTCTATAAAATCATATGGCTTCCCAAACTCTTTCCAACCTTCCTATCATAGATTTCACCATGGAAAACTTGAAGCCTGACACAAACTCATGGCTCTCGGCACGCAGCGATGTCCGGCGTGCCATCAAAGAGTACGGCTCTTTCATAGCTCTATATGATAAGGTTTCTGCAGAGCTTAACAATGAAGTCTTTAATAAATTGAAAGAGTTGTTTGATCTTCCTACAAAAACTAAGTCCCAGAACTGGTCCGACAAGGTTTACTATGGATATGTTGGCCAACTGGCTCATCTTCCAATCCACGAGAGTTTGGCGATTGCAGATGCAAACACTCTTGACGGAGTTCAAAGCTTCACAAACCTCATGTGGCCCTCTGGAAATGACAACTTCTGGTATTATTAGTCCATATCCTATCCATTTATAGTCGTGTCTAAGTCACCTGCTGTCGGATTCATGTTGTTTGTTTCGTGCTAATTCGTTTGCTGCTGTATGATATGGTAAGGATTTTTTTTTTTTTTTCAACTTTATACGTTCGTTTGGTTAATTACCAACATTGAGTTACCTCGTACTTCCGGTTGATGTACTTTTTTGTGTGTTTTGTCAAGTGAAAACATGCTAAAGTATGGAAAGAAAGTAGCAGAACAAGAACAACTAGTGAGCAAGATGGTGGTTGAGAGCTATGGTTTGGAGAGGTACTACAACTCGCACCTCCATTCAATGACTTACTTCCTTCGAACCATAAAATACAGAGAACCCGAAATCGATGAGACCAATGCTGGGACTGACATTCATACGGAAAAGAGCCTTATAACAATACTTCATCAAAATCAAGTCCATGGTTTGCAGATTCAGGCCAGGAATGGCAACTGGATCGACGTTGACTTCACACTGGAATCCTTTGTGATCATTGCCGGCGATGCTTCCTTGGTGTGTAGTCTATCTTTCTACTAAGAACAACTTTTTTCAAGTACTAATTATTAGGAACATGTTTGAGTACTTCTGTTTTTTCGGCAAGTACGTTTGAATACTTGCATAGAGAGAGCAAATCACTTAAAAAAAACAGCAAAAAAGTACTGAGAAAAGCGTCATTAAATGACACCTTGAGAATAAGTTAACAAGAGAGTAGTGTCACTAATGCTAATAAGTAGTCATGTTGTATTAAATTTTATCAATCTATTCTCAATTGATTTATACAGTAATATAAAGTCGGGTTCGAATTTTGTATTAGCCATGTATAATAGCTAGAGTTCAAACTGTACATTGTTGGGTTTATCGATTGTTTTTAGTGGATATATCTAGTGGATCAATTATGTGATAATTTAAACCCGTTATAACTGAACTCATAATCGGGTTGACGGATGGTGTTAAAGATTTATTAGGTATCCCTTCTAAAGTCCCACATAAATAGGGGTAAAGCCAATAAGTAAATTCCTATGGATGCCTTGGGTTCTGCAAAATTATATTGAGACTCTTCCATAATAGAAAAATAAGACCAAAATCACTTAGGTTTTATGTGCTAAATCAATAACACTCCTTTGATGCGATAAAAAAAGGGTCGACTAGTATACGAAACTCTTGATACATATACAGTAGGACCGAAGGTTTAGATGAACACAACTTAACCTCTAGCATGCGGAGAGATTGTTTCCAACAATACTAGCACAAACTCCTCGGCAATATGTATTTTTTGTTAATTTAGTCCTCATTATATCAATTTTTGATGGAAGTGACCACGTGTCATTTTTTTAGACGGTATCATGTGCCCAAGGACCAAAATGACACGAATTGAATACTTTAGTAATCAAATTTATAAAATTGATACAATAAGAACTAAATTGATAAAAAATAAATATTTTAAAGACCAAAAAATGCGATAAACCCTTTTTTCTATTACAAGTGAAACGGCATTTCTTTCTTGTTGCAGGCATGGAGCAATGACAGAATACACTCACCTAGGCACCAAGTCATCTTACGGGAGAAGAAAACAAGATACACAATAGGTGTGTTTGCATACAACATGGGAACAACTGACATACCACAAGAGATGGTTGACGATGAGCATCCATTGCAGTTTAGGTCGTTCGACAACATGGGGCTGCTTCAGTCCTATTTCGACAACCCGACTTGCCTAACTGGGGAGACTGCATGGAGCTATTGTGGCATCCGTGCTTAAAAACAGCTTTCTCTGAGGCAATTTTTCAGTAATCTAGTCTGCCTGGTCACCTCATGTTATGGTTTCTCTTAATATTATCTATGCTATGTTTGTGTTTACTATTTTCTTTGAACTGAAGTTGACGACTATATGTGTGTTTATGTATGAATATATATGGCGCAAATTATATTTTTACTCCTTAAACTATAATCCCGATCTCAGTTTATTCTCTCAACTGTTGAGTTTCNAGTTGACGACTATATGTGTGTTTATGTATGAATATATATGGCGCAAATTATATTTTTACTCCTTAAACTATAATCCCGATCTCAGTTTATTCTCTCAACTGTTGAGTTTCTTATTTTGTGCATTCAACTACTTGAATTAGTTTTACATTGCTCCAAAATAATTTTTTTTGTCATATATTGAATAAAGAGTGTCGGAATGTGTAGTGAAATATATGTTTCTAGTGTCTTCAAATGGGGCAATGTAAAATTAATAATTATAACTTGAGGTGTAATGTGAGAAACGTAATAGTNTTTATTTTGTTCATTCAACTACTTGAATTAGTTTCACATTGCTCCAAAATAATTTTTTTTGTCATATATTGAATAAAGAGTGTCGGAATGTGTAGTGAAATATATGTTTCTAGTGTCTTCAAATGGGGCAATGTAAAATTAATAATTATAACTTGAGGTGTAATGTGAGAAACGTAATAGTAGAAGGTTCAATGTGAAAGAAGAGGGATAGTTGAATAGGTGAACATATAATTTAACTATTTATAATATAAAACTGGACAGATTTCAATAAGTCTATCCGACAATCTCAAATAGACTCATCTAACGGCCATCAACATCTTTTTTAAATTTTCACCATGCCTTTAAACACAAGTTACTCCTAATGTGTGTGTATATATATATATATATATANTATAGTAGAAGGGTCAATGTGAAAGAAGAGGGATAGTTGAATAGGTGAACATATAATTTAGCCATTTATAATATAAAACTGGACAGATTTCAATAAGTTTATCCGACAATCTCAAATAGACTCATCTAACGGCCATCAACATCTCTTTTAAATTTTCACCATACCTTTAAACACAAGTTACTCCTAATGTGTGTGTGTATATATATATATATATATAGCATCTAATTGTAACTTGTGGGTCTTGTCGATAGTTGTGGCCTAAGATCACGCGTAGCAAGAACAGGGGTGGGAGTGAGGGGGTAAGCACAAAAGCGTTACATTTAAAAAAAAATTGAGAGTAAGAGTGCCTTGAGAGCATTATATGATATGTATACAGACTTACATTCATTCATAACAATTTAATATAAACAAAATATNACGTAGCAAGAACAGGGGTGGGAGTGAGAGGGTAAGCACAAAAGCATTACATTTAAAAAAAAATTGAGAGTAAGAGTGCCTTGAGAGCATTATATGATATGTATACAGACTTACATTCATTCATAACAATTTAATATAAACAAAATATAAAAAATTAAAATTACATGTACAACTATGAGACAAACTATTTAATTTTTAAATATATAAAGTCCTAATATAACAATTATAGTTTACAAATATTATTTTAGCTTGATATGTATCTTTAGACCGAAAAAAGTGATAAAAATAATTATCACAATTGTGGTAAAAATACTCGTAACAGTAATAAATCACTTACAAAAGAGATAATTTTTTTTGTTCTGAAGAAAAGTGGTTAAAATAATTACCACAGCAGTGAAAAAAATACTCACAAATATGATAAATTACCCACAAAAATGATCAATTTTTGAGTTGCAAAATGACCCATACGTTATAAAAACATCCATTAAAATAGTAAAATTTAGAGGTATGATACCAAAATTTTTTCTTCGTTGCCACAGTCAAGTCCAAATAAATGAGGCATTTTGTAATACATTTGAATGTGATTTGGTGTATGATGATCAGTAAAGACAAATTGGATGCTTGAGCGGTCACACAGCATTGACTAGGCTAATACAAGTGTGTCAATAGGTTGGATTTGGATGGCAGTTTGTTTGATCCGAATTAAAAATCTATTTTGAATTTCGATTTAATTATTCGATGCATTTCATTTTTATAGTTCACGTGTCAATTTTAAACATAAGTAGAAATTACTCGTAGTTGAAGGTATTAAGTAGCACAAATAAAAATATAAAAATAAAAATCACCAATATTTAATAAAAATATTAAATTTCATTTCAAAATTTTATCTGGACCCCAAAAAATATTAATTAATCAAGAAACAGTGTTTCCAATTGCTAATATGCTAATAGGATGATTATATGCTCATGGCTTGGGAACAGGAAAAGGGCAGTCTAGGAAACTCAATCATCATCACCTTCACAAACCCATGATGTCACATCATCAAGGGACACACAGATACACAAAATTATCTGCAGATAATTGTACTGAATGCATAAGAAGTCACTGGATTACACTCGTGACACAGTTTTAGAAGCACAAAATTTGCTTATACTTGTAATTTAGTAGAACACATAAGGTGTCTAGTGCTGTGAAATCAGCAGAACTCATCATTGTTAACATCAACAAATGTATCAATACATGAAAACCTTAATACCTACAAAACGTTTGAAATAAGTTTAATACGTTGTTTACATCTCGCCACCACTTCAACGCTTACACCCATTATGCCAATTGGGTGTGGGAGTGTACAGATCTGTGTGTGTCTTGTTCGGGTTCAAATATGTGCGTGTCAATATTTTTTGTGTGCGTGAGAGAGAGTTTAAAAAGGTTGGGACAGAGGATAAGAGAGACCATAGGGTGGTGGTGTTCAAATTACTTTACAACGGCTAATCACAAGTGGCTTCGAGCGTCGATGGCTGATGTCGTCAAACGCCAATAGAGATAAGAGAGAGAGAGAGAGCGGAGATTTGGTAGAGATGTCATGTATCCTGAGTCTTCTCCAACCTTTCCAGGTGGCAACAACAAAAGGAAGATGTAGAGTGAGTAATGTTCAGTTATGGCAAAGTCTATCATGTGCAGAAAAGTAGTGCTAGGCCTGTTGGCATGTTCTCTGTAGAGGAACTCTTACTACGTGGATCTGTTGGTTATGTTTCATATGAGTTAGTTGCTAGAGTTTGTAGAGTCCTATAATTATGTTTTTAATAAGGTAGTTAGTGGAGTCATGTAACACTGGTTTTAGTGGGAAGTTATTTATACTTGTTTGTAAGCTATTTAAGTCATATTTATTAATGAAAGATTATTCTATTTTGCAAGCCAGAAATTTGTATTGGAGGTTGGCCCCTTGAAGAACCTATTTTCTATCTTCTCAGATTTTTAGTCCCTAACAGGTGGTATCAGAGTCACCGTTCCTCCATGGCTAGGGAACTTGTTTTACCTAGCTATCTGAAAGCGTTCACCAGTTAAAGAATGAGCAAGCGGAACTCAAAGGCGCCCAAGTCCAGCAATAAGGTTTACTTGAAGAGCTAGTACAACAAGTGAGTAACCTTGCAACCAGTTACGCTTCTCTGTCCCAAATAATTAACCAAAATAAAACTAACCCTCATTACCCACAAAACAACAACCCCACTAGCAGCCAAACACAAAAGCTACTCCCAGCTTTGCACCCACCACATACTATCCATGAAAATCCTGTATTTGAGGGGCAAGGAATTTAAGGTCGTACCCTTCGAATGGATTTCCCCAAATTTGATGGCCATGATCCTACTAGATGGATTTTTCGTGCCCAACAATTCTTTGCTTACTACCACTCTCTTGATGTTAAAAAAATCCAAATTGTCTCTTTCCACATGGAGGGCAAAGCTTTGATTTGGTACCAATGGTTACGAGATTATACACTGATAATAACTTGGTAAGGGTTTATCCAGGCTTTGAAGGTGAGGTTTGCCCCTACCCTTTTTGATGATCCAGTCGCAGAGTTCACAAAACTTCGACAAACAACAACGGTGGAGGAATATCAAACCCAGTTTGAAATCCTCCCTAACAAAATCACAAGGCTCACAGAAGAATTTTGGGTCAGTACCTTCATTAGTGGCCTTAGTGATGATATAAGAGTTGTGGTTATCATGTTTCACCCTACCTCCTTAACCACTGCATTTGGCCTTGCCCGATTATAAGAGGAAGAGGTTTGGCATCGCGATCGCAGCCCAAGACCTTCCCCTTTTTCCCATTCTACTTCAAACTCCTACCCTGGAACCCAAAAAAATTACCCGAGGTTACCTGGTCCTCTTAATCCTTTAAACTCCTAACCATGTATCCTGAGTCTTCTCCAACCTTTCCAGGTGGCAACAACGAAGGGAAGATGTAGAGTGAGTAATGTCTAGTTATGGCAAAGTCTATCATGTGCAAAAAAGTAGTGTTGGGCCTGTTGGCATGTTCTTTGCAGAGGAATTCTTGCTACGTGGATCAATTGGTTATGTTTCATATGAGTTAGTTGCTAGAGTTAATGGAGTTCTATAATCATGTTTTTCATAAGGTAGTTAGTGGAGTCATGTAACAGTGGGTTTAATGGGTAGTTATCTATACTTGTTTGTAAGCTATTTAAGTCAGCATTATTAATGAAAGATTATCCTATTTTGCAAGCCAGAAATTGGTATTGGAGATTGGCCCCTCAAAGAGCCTGTTTTCTATCTTCTCAAATTTTTAGTCCCAAACAAGAGACCACAATAATTTAAAAATTGAAAGATCCAAATTTGGACGGAGCAAAGAAAAAAAGAAAAGAAAAAAGAAGAGGTTGTGAAAGAGTTAAAACTTAAAATAGATAACATGCAAAACATATAAGTCATATATCTAACGTATTTGAATAATTAGTGTTACTCGGGCATCGAATATTTGCTGCAATTTATAAAAGTCACCTTTAGAATTCAATTCAATTTTTAATTCAGTGCTACTAAAAATTATTATGTCGGGTTTGAGGTCAGGTCCAGGTCTAGACCCCCGGGTCAGGGTTAGGTCTAGGGTCGATTCTGGGTCTAAGTCAGCTTTAGATAACGTATTTAAGAGACTGTGAAAGAGTT